TACGACTTAAGTCAGAAAACAAGTAAAACATAGACAACGCTTAAGCATTTAAGTGTCGACTTAATTTTAGTTAAGAGTTGACTTAATTAAACCTGTAATGACACAGTAAAGCAAAATAAACTTTGACTCAATATTAAGGTTAAGTTCCTGAAGTTTAGAATATTGATAAGACGATGCTCAGTTATTAGATGGAGGTAAAAAATTTTCATATTCGAAATAATATAAATATTTTAAAAAGTTCTCTGTTTTCCTCTATAAGTGATACTACTTTATCAATGGCAACTTTTATCGCTATAATACATTCAGAAAAACAAAAAATAAGTTAAAAAAAAAGCTAAAAGCTAATGTAAAAGTCTATTAATACATTCGATGCAAGTTTTTATTTTTCTCTCAAATAAAAAAATTATCGTTCTACGATTCAACATACAGAAGAATGCTTTCAAATATTTTGTACTGCTAATTAAAAAAGATGTATCAATTTTAATTAGTTAAGGTAATTTATTGAGGTGCACTAAATCAACCGTAACTTTCTAAATAAATGACATACAAATATGTACAGCGTCTCATTTTGAAAAGGACACTTTTCTCGACATGGAGATATAGTTTGTCAAAAAAAAAAGAACTATTCGATCATGCAAAGCTGTAAGATCTTCCAAAAAATGATGTACTTTTAATGGATTTGAAAAGTGTTCGAAAAAACATCAGCCATTTACACTGTATTCTAAAAGCGGCCATATATACCAACTTAATATGCTTTTATATCAAGTAGCTACTTCTAACTGATCTCGTTACGAAGAATCTCTCTTAAAATAAGTAGTTACCGTTTTCTACAGCGTTAAAAATACTGAAAACCACCAAAAGTTTATTAAGCTAGAAGGGTAAATCAATAACCATTAGAATAAATTTTTGATCGGTTAAGTTCAGTACAGAACTGTGAATCTAGTAAGAAAAGGTATAGAATCTCTCGCTGTTACTAAAAGTATGTATGTTTTTATTCGCTTACTTATTTATGTCGTATACTTTTTTTGTAGGGGCACGTGTATTGCTGGCGGTAAATTTTGCCCTAAAATTTCGTTTGATACCTGAAAAAAATGTATTTTAGTCTTTATGTAGCAAAAGTATTTTAAAAACTTATGGAACTATTCAATTGTCTCTTCAGCTGAGCACTCACTAGCCCACTCGACATGCGATTTCGCGTATTGGCTTTGGAAATGCTTTATTCAACTAAACGTAAACATTTGCACTCTGTGCAATGTAGTATGTGTTTAGAAAACCAGAAAGAAAGACTTTTATGTCATTTCCTAAGACAGAATAAAAGAAACAAAAAAGGACGGGGGCGATTATCTGATGAAATCGGTCCATGCATGAATTTCATCGACTAATCAAAGGCTAAATACAAAAATGAAGAGAGGAATATTTCTAGGTAGTTACTAGACCTTAGAACCACTNAACTGCATCTGATATATATTATAGATCGTAGTTCTGGATCTTTCTCTCTTAGTTTCACAATTCCTCATTACTGTTATATATCATTCGAAAGCTCTTTTTCTTCGCTATATTTTTGTATATCACATATACGGAAATAGCCGTTCTGAGGCCAAGAATGTTTAGAAATATCTCTGGGTATACATTGTAAAAAATAAAGTGTGCAAATGACACACGTAAAGTGAACGCCAAGTCGATTCCTAGTGACCGTCGAGAATATGCGGCGTAAGTATGTAAAGTAAACACTGAGAACTGACCGACTGACTCTACACACTGAGACCAATGATATAGTCTACTTGTCTAAGCTAGCTGTGCTGAAAATGTCTCAGATTCATCAATGGATTGTTCAAATCTACCATATGACGACGTTTTTTTTTTCACTTTTTTTTCTTATCTGTTTTTGCCGGAATTTACAGGATATATACTTTGGAAGATGGTGATCATGATTCTGAAATTATTTTTTCATTCGATGCAGTAGTTCGGGAGAAAAATAGAAAATAAGGTCTTTTTAACGCACCTAGCTCTTTACACACTGAGAATGATCTCCTACGCGCAAAAAGATATTCTATGTCAACATTTCTCATTCGGCTACTACAATAAATATACTATTCGATAGAGAATTTGTCAAGCTACAATTTGATATATATAATATAGAGAAAAGTGTCCTAGGGCATCTTGACATTAGAAATGTTGCTACAAAGCCAGAATTCTGCTCGTAATTCTCAATTTTCTCCATCAGAACTCAATTTTTATGTAATAAAAATATCATATTCGAAATCAGGGTCAAAAACTGAGCCGACCAATGTGTATTTCGAAATTTTTACTTGGTTTTCAGTTTAGGTGAAAAGCTCAGTAATTTTTCAACGTGAAAATTCGACAAAAACCAGTCGATAGGATGGATATACACATTGGTCGACTCAGTTTCGATCCTGATTTCGAATATGATATTTTCATTGCATAAAATTTGAGTTCTGATGAAAGAAAATTGAATTCTGGTTTTGCAGCAACATTTCTGATGTCAAGACACTTTTTGCTTTATATTATATATATCAAATTGTAGCCCGACAAATTCTCTACCGAATGGTTCTTATTGTAGTGGCCGAATGAGAAATGTTGACATAGAATATCTCACACTTTTTGCAATAGGAGATCACTTTCTACAGCCAGAGATATTTCTAAACATTCTTGGCCTCAGAACGGCTTTTTCCGTATATGTGATATACAAAAATATAGCGAAGAAAAAGAGCTTTCGAATGATATATAACAGTAATGAGGAATTGTGAAACTAAGAGAGAAAGATCCAGAACTACGATCTATAATATATATCAGATGCAGTTGAAACTTAATTAAATTTGGTTTGACCAATTTTTTTCTGACAGTGGTTCTAAGGTCTAGTAACTACCTAGAAATATTCCTCTCTTCATTTTTGTATTTAGCCTTTGATTAGTCGATGAAATTCAAGCATGGGCCGATTTCACCAGATAATCGTCCCCGTCTAGAGTCTTGCGGGTCTGAGTTTATCGAACCCGATCCGATCTCGTAGATTTGAAACCCGACCCGAACCCGCCAGAAGTTTCTCGAAATGCTGATCCCAATCCCGATTTTTCAACTAAAACCCGCTCGACCCGAAAAACTTTTTTAGTGAACTCACCTCTTTTATTTTTGCATTAGTAAATCTCTACACGTAGATATTTTGCGTCTTTCACAGTCAAGAAGGAGAAACTCAATCAAAGTGATGGTAATTCTAATGACAGTGAAAAGTAAGGAAATTTTTTTTCTGTTGCTATTCTTGTGATAAACGTTGTTGCACGCTCCGAAACAATATCTCTTTGTTATTGTCTTTTGAATAAAAAAATAATGCAGCCTTTGAAGAAGAAACCCGATCCCATTCCCATGAACTCCCACCCGAAGCCGAACCCTAACAAAAACGTTTCGGGATCCCAATGCCGAACCCGAGGGATCTGGTTAAACCTCCAGCCGCCCTTTCAAAAAAAGGATTACAGCTGCAGACAATACACTACATGATTTTGGAAGCCCGCATCAGTACGGTTTATCTGTATCATCATAATTCGCACGATTACTAGCAACATCAGACGTGACGGAAAGGTAGTTGAGATACTACAGTTGACATGAATAAAAGAATAAATCTGCATCTGAAATAACTGGAGAGTTTGCAAGAAATTTTTTTCGACAATATATTCTGCTAGACAAAATAGAAAAGTCCTCCTATCATATTAAGATCCATGAAACAAAACTCCGAAACTATAGATTCTAGAATTCTTGTTTTATCTACTGAATATCCTGGAATTCAATAAAAGTTTCTAAAAATATCAATAGAAAGTATCAGGGTTTTTAAGAAATTTCTGAAAATAAACGAATTTACTGATCTTAATTGTAGAACTAGGTTGATCAAATAAAACAGAGTATATCTTGATATTCCCGAAGTAGTTCAGATCGATTTTGACTGAGTTATGAATGTTTCAATTTTCCATGAAAACAGTCATAGATGAACGGACCGGACCGTGAGCAGTGTTGTGGAAGACAACCCAGTGTATCTTTACTACATTTTAACGATAGACGTCGCTGTGGAAACTCACATACCCATCAGGTAGACCACCTAAAAGTTCGGGATTGTTGTATTCCCGTATGTTAGAAGATTGAGTAAAGGCTCCTTTGTAAAGCGCTAATAATCCAAGTTCTCCAATTGTTTTTATTTCTGAGTTATTCAGAATATATTGTAAGACCTTTTATTTTGAAATAAATGGTAGTACTCGGATCTGACATGTATATTAAACGCGTCTTTCATCTCATAAAGGAGAGATCTATTGATGAACAAATTATGAGATTATTTGTAATTAACTATTATTATTAATTAAGATTTTTTTGAGTTAGATGTGTTTATTTCCAAAAAATGGACGATAAAGAGAGCATTTCGTTTTTTTCTACTTGAAAAAGTTGAAAGGGCATTTGACGTACTATAAAATATAAACTTTTTCTCTCTAGAAAAATATCAATGACTAAATAAATAAAAGGAAACAACAACAATATATGTTTACATGCAATAGAAATAAATTTGCTCAAAAAGAACCAAATAGGTTTTAGCTTAGAAATATGCTACATGTCAGAATGACAAAAATCATGTTATAACTATCATTTAAAAACTTTGTAATAATTGTCTCAATAATCCTGTCAATAAAAATAGATACAGTCGTATGAAAAGAAAAATAACAAACACTTCAGCACCGAGATTATGTTTAACGAAAAAAATAGTCCTGACGAAAATGAAAAAGTGAAACAAGACTCTTATGACTGCTATAAAAGGAAATTATATCTGAATAAATTAATCTGATGGGTTGGTTTCAGAACCGCATATTCATAAACTGAGCCGGCTCGAATAGTTTAAAAAATAAACAAATAAATGAGAGAAAAACAAGGACATTAAAGCATACGAAATACAATTGAAAAATAAATGAACTTTGTCAAGGATGAAATATTGTATTTACTGTGCATTCAGATTAAATTGGAGGTGATGCGGTATTGTTTTGTTGTTGTGTTGGTGGCGATGGAAGAAAGACAGCGTCAACTTCCAAATGTTGAATGTTTAATACATGCCCACTGTTATTGATAGGTGTTAGAGCAAAATCATTGTCTCCTAGAAAAAGATGATGTGTAAAACCAAATCGTATAAAACACGATAGTTTGTCTCAGTAGGAGTTATTTGTCCATTATCCTTTATCTAACATGCTTTGTCAGGTGTTCCACACCATTGATCATTCCGGATCGTTTTTTTTCGGTCCGTTCCGTATCTGGGCTCAAGAATTTGGGCCCAGGTTGGTCCCGTTCGAAGAGAACGCATAAAGTTTTCGAAGGAGCTGCTATGGATCGGGCCAAATACATTCTACGGACCGATCCGCATAAACAAGTTTCAAAACAAGCTCGTGGGCCCCAGTTTTCCTTCCCGTGACGATCTCTGTTCCACCCATTAAATTTCTAATGAATTAGAAAAATCTTTCATCTCATTTTTAGCAGACAATATTAATGTTCAACAAAATTAGATTAGAATGAAAAATTAGAATGAAAAAAATATCTTCAAATTACCTTGTTCTTGAGAATTGTTTTGAGATGGGATTACCATTTCAATTGATGTTTCAGTCCAATCGATAATCGATGCTAACAATACTTCTTCTCCCAAATAATCGTCTGTATTATTACTACTTGTTTCTGTGATCATTTCAACATTATTGTGACCAGGCACACGTTCAAGCGTACGTTCAATTTCTTCAACGGCTGTTGATAGAGTTCGAACACGTTGTTTAATAAGTTGTCCGATAATATTATGCTCTGTTTCTTCTGCCTCATGTAATTTTTCTTCTTGTTTCTGTTCATCTTGATGTGGTGAAGAATGTTGAATCATCAGCGTTGTTTTATCTAAAGGTGAAAACAATGGATTTCGAACAGTGTTTATTACTTCATCATGTTGTCCGGTGATTATAACAACAGGAGCTAATGGAGAAAAAGATGGGGTTTTATTAAAGTTACACGAATGTGATGCTGATAAAATATCAGTTTGTACTCCGCGATCTAGGTGTGGTGTGGCTAAACTAAAACTTCTGCCTTGAACTGGATGATGACAAGATAATTTTTGCGATTTTTCTACCAATGCAGTTTGATCACCTTTCACTTCATGCAGTGATAATGATGATGATGAAACAGAGTCAAATTTGAGGTCGTTATTTGTTGATTGTTGTGGAGAAATATGTTGTGATATTAACGAGGATTGTAAAATGTGTAATGGTAATGCGGATGAAGGTGATTGTTGCTGTTGACTCAAGTTTTGCACTAATGTTTGAACTAATGTCATTATTGAAGTATGCATGTCTTCTAGACGCTGTAAACGTTCATCAAAACTTTGTAGATGCGAGTTTTGTTGTGTTTCGTTTTGTTTTATTGTATCGACTCGAGTTAACATATTGGAGACTCTAAAAATAACAATGCAAAATAATCATTATGTACATATTTAAGCAGTACGTACTTATCCGCCGTAAATGACATTTTTTCTTCTACAGTGCCTTTCTCTCGTTCTTCTTTCGTAGTTAAATATTCGTGTACACATTCTTCTTCGAAGTCGCGTAGTTTTTCAATATCATCAACATTTAAAAATAATTCTGAAAATAATTATTAACAAGGATAAAAGAACACAATAAATGAAAGTCGACTTACTTAATCCTCTATCGAATGTTCGCTTTCTATGCCTACACATACGATAAAGTGTTTCAATTAATAAATAAATATGTGAAAAGATAATGATAGGCGGTGCAAGTTTTGGTTTTGATTCATATTGCATGACAATGTGATAACGTTGAAACTTCCACACTTGGTCAGATAATCGACTTAATCTTAGAAATGTAGTGTTGAATTTTGCCTACAATAAACAACAACAATATAAAATAACAACTATATAGACTGACATATAATAAAGTTTTATACCATTAACATTGACAATAATAGAATATTACAAACAAGTAAAAATACGGTCATTGTGATTGGTGTAATCCAATGACCGGGCATACAAGATGGATTAAACGGATTTTCAGTACGGTTACATGGTGGATCAATTTTGTCCGCATATACTTCTCCATAAATCATAAAATATGGTTCTAAAAATATCTCTTTCACTAAATGCCAAGTAAACGATTCATCCGGATATTTTATTGCTTGTCTTGAGACGCCAAATGACATTAGTACAATAATAACGATCACAATTAAACGTAGTAGATCAATAATCTAAATGAAAAGTAGACGATAATTCGTTTCGTAATTGTTATTCTATTCTTTTTATACTTACATTTCTTGCTGCTATGTGAATATATGGACCAACTTCTTTTGAAACAACAAGAAAATGAAACATTCTCAAATACCAATAACTCAAATTTATACAAAGTAATAATCGTCCAATAACGCGCCACTCAAATGTCAAACGTAAACCAAATGCCAATGCAAATATTAAAATACCCAATGTATCATATAGATGTAAGTAATCATTGAAATAAACACTTAAACGAATTTTCCATGCAGTTGCATTCATTGTTAAGATTTCACGGATTTGATCTAATGCCATGGTAGATAAATAACACATTAGCAGCCATTCTACAACGGACGGTTTAGCTGGTGTGCGGATAAGAACAGTATAAGTAAATAAACCCAAAAATAATAAAAAAAATATTAAATCTTGAAAAAATTTTGTCACCGGAGCATTATAAAATTCATAAATTTTTTTCATGATTGGTAAATCAGCATTGTTAGTTATTAACGTGTTTTGTTCTCGACTATTTTCTACAATCAAAGTAAAAACAGTGATATAAAAATTGAAATGCATTAGATAAAGTACATGTCTCTACGGTATTTCAAGTATCACTCTTAATTGAGAATTGTGTATGTTCCTCATCACACAATGAAATATGGCTTATCAAATTTTAGATGAAAGACACTATATATTACACAACAGCATGTATCTTACCATAGAATACACACGGTTGAGTATCACCTATCGAGTTTGTATATTTCAATGTCTCAATTGTTTTTATTTTTTTCCAACAGCCGTAACGTTTAAAGGATTTTTGACAGCGATCACGTAATAAGCAAAGAAATCGATAAAATATTGATTGATAAATCCACTTTTGAATAAAGCTCAAACATCGATAATTTGTAGATCCAGTATTTCCAGTTTTATTATCTTCAATGATAATCGTTGTTCCTCCTATTGATTCCGTGATTGGCGCTGTCATTAAATCAGTACTCGTATCTGTTTCATTTTTTTCGCCAACTACTAATAGAGCCATGTCTTCATTTTTAACCGCTGAATGTTCATCATTATGTGTGCTACTACTGTTTCGTTTCTTTCGTTTTTTCTTTTTTTTTCTCTTTTTTTTTCGATCATCATTAGGAGTGTGTTCATCGTCATCATTTGTACTTTCAAACATTTCATGTAAATCACTGTCTTGGCTATCATCGCTATCATCACTTTCCGAATCATCACTGTCACTCGTCTCGTTTTGCTCTTCAAGATATGCCTCTTCTTCAGTTTGTGGCATTTTTTCAAGTTCTCTAGGTGACTTGAAATCAATTAAAAAAATAGCAAAAGGACAAAATAATGCTAATAATACCATCCATTTTAAATATTTTCTAACATTCATTCCTGTACCAAGAAAATTTAAGTAAATACATTGCTCGAAATTAATTTAAGACAATAAATTTACCTCCAATCCATAAATCAGATAATAATTGTTGACAGGATTTATGTGCCACAAAATCTCGACTATAAGCTAATACCGCTAAATCTAAACAATTTAAATCACTGAAATTCTTATCATTTAATTCATATGTTAATAATTGGCCAGCTCGATCAGCATCTTCTTTGTAACACTGATCTAATAAAGCTACTGCTCTTTGTTGAAAATCTTCTGCATATAACAAAAATTCTTCAGCAATTTCTGTATCCAATTCATCATCTTCCGCTTCACGAGCCAGTGATTTATTTAAACGACAAGCCATTAGAGCTTTTGCTAAGCCATCTTCGCCATTTTCCCAACAGAACAAGGCCATGGAATGACGTTTGTTTAATACAGCCCATATTAATAAATCATTATATGGTGAATCAAATGTTGGATTATCACTTCCTAGTTTTTTTGTTAACGATGTGAGTATATCATTGGATGCGGGTATATTTGCTGCTGATGTATGCAACTCTTTTATTTCAGCATCCGAATTCATATGATATTTTTGACGATAGCGAGAAGCTTGACGCGCACACAAATGACGAAATGTTCGACGAGTATAAGTGGAACGGTAACCTTGAAAATAAAAAAAGAAGTTATATTAAACAATAAAATTACTACAAAAATAAAAGAACAAATAGATACCCTGGCCCATCAATTTTTCAATAACAAGACCAATATCAAAAAGTGAATATGTTTTTCGTCCATGATGACGTATAACATCTCTAACAATTAAATCCAACGTATTTGTTGTTATACCACATTTATTATTGTACAATGCTTGTAAACGATCAAATGTTAAAAATTTTTGCATCGATACACCATTTTCCAATAGTAATTTAACATATTCAACTTTATCTTCTGATAATGATTCAAACATGGCTATTTCCAAATCTGCTTGTCTCCATTCATTTCGTTTATTTAATAAACATGTTTGAGCAATATCCGGTCTATTCCAGGATAAAACGAGTCGAAATTGTTCTAAAGCACTTGCTTTGTGATTTCTAGAAATAAAAATTAAAATAAATATTTATTATCCATTTTCTTTCGAAAATATACACCAACCTTAATAAAGTACGTAAAATAGCTTGATCAACTTCTTGACCTGTACCGTTGTCGTCATCAATTCGAAAAAGTGTTATATATTCTTTTTTTCTCATACATAACATTAATTCAACATAAACATTTTCCGCTTGACGACGATTATAGGAAAATACTTTCATTATCGTACGTAATAGTTGATCTTGCAAATCGACCGCCATTGTACTAAAAACACGGTAAATGATAGTGATGAACTGTTCAAATAAAACAAAAATAGACTATTGAATAAAAGCAGCTGTTTTAAGCTTTATCCCTTTAGCGTACAATGCAGATACTAGATGTATTTACGTCAATTGCTGAAAATTGGTAAGCTAAAAATTCAACATATCATTTAAGTAATTTATTTAAAATTGGATTTTATACCCATCTTTCTCTGCATGTCTGTAAGTAAATGAAATGAGATCGGCTGCACGACCACTTCCATCACAAACGACCACCGGCACAGGTGGCTCTTCTGTAACATATTCTAATACTGTACGAATTGTATTTGTTCCACCTTCTACAATCACGCAAACAACAGGAATATTTTGTTTACCCGAATGACCTAAAAATAGTTTTAATTGTTAAAAGTGCTTTCAAACGCAAAATATACAGATTTCAAAAAATTCTTACCATGAAAGGTAATTTTTTGCTGCGATAAATATTTTTCTAATCGTTTGCGTAAGACAATTTCTCCACCATATTTTCCTATAGTACCATTGTCAACTAATAAAAAGCAACTATGTGAACTGTTCAATGTTGCATTATTTTCACCGGTAACAGCCGCACTGCAATGATAGGATACTGTTTTCTAAATAAGAATGGTCAAATGATTAAACTTTTTTTATTAGAATTTTCGACAGATCGTCTATCTATACATACGTTTTCTCCTTTTAGATGTTCACGTCCCTCTACTACACCCCAAGCAGCAATTCCAATGACAACTATTTTCGAACGACTTCTTGATTTTACAAATAGAGCATCACCAACATGTCGAACAGTACCTAGAAAGAAAATCAATGTAGAATAAGAATATTTTGTAACACTTTTTATCTTACCGGTATTAGTCCCATTTGTAAGTATCCAAGCACCAGTTGTATTTGCCGCTTTCAATAGACCAGTTTTTAGTACTTGTCGAAGACGTGGTTGTAAATCAAAATTTTTTATTCCCCCGTGAATTGAAACAATTAAATTTGGTAATTGTAAACGCCAATATTTATTAAACAAATGTACAATTTGTAATGGATTCGTATCATATGCCAAGCGAATATATTGGGCCTTGGATGAAAATACAGAGAATATTTATAACTACTTTCTTCTTCAAATATCATACCTTGGCTGGATGAGGAGTGCCTTCGAATTCAATTGTTCCAAATGCATTTGTCGGATAAAGTGCAGTATGTCTGGATATGTTCCATTTTTCAATATCGTGATTATCTGGATCGTGACTATTTATATAGAGATTATTATAATTTGACTTTGATTGAATCGATTTGATTGCTTTGGACGGAATCCTTAACGATGAATTATCTTTATCGAAATGTTCTTCTTTTGTACGTCCACAATAACATCTATAAACACAAGAATAATCGGTGCATAATACACACCATTTTCGAGCCAATCTTTTATCATACCGTGTTGGCTCTTGTTGTGATGATATAAATTTTTTACATCGTCGTCGAAAGAATGATCGTGGAATTGATTTGCAATCATTCGTTGAAGTCTGCTATAGAGAATGATGCAAACTAGATTAGTTCCAACTTCTTCGTCAAAACAAAAACTCTTACATTTTTTATACGCGCCCGTATTTTTCTCAACATTTCTTGAAAAAATATAACTAACTAGACGATGAATTAATAGTTCATGAGATAAATGAAAAAATTAGTCTTTCATAGTGAGAAATGGACAAATTAATTTACAATGAACAAAAGAGGAATTGATAGAACGGATATCATTAAAATGATTACGAAACTTGTTTGTCACAACAAAAATATATGGATGGAGACAAAGAACATTAAAAGAACACAGAATAAAATAATAAAATAATAATATTAAAGAGCAATGTGTCCATAACTAAAGAATAATGTTTTCCTTAGTTGAAAGATAATCAAGTATTCACAATGACAACAGATGAAGATTTTTTTAACAAACAGAATGTAATTACCCCGAACAATAAGAAAAAAGGAAAATTTCTACTACTTTTTTTAGAAAATTGATGATTCTAGAAACGAATTATAGAGAAAACCTTTTACAGTTTCATACTTTATTCTGTCATTGGATCTTGTTCAAATGATAAATTATTTCTGATTGCTTGCGTGACAAGTTTTTTATACAAGCTTTATTTTTCACTGACATATTTGATTCTTTTACCATGGATAAAAAAATTTCAGATGAATAATGCAAAGTTTTCTCCAAGTTTTAAAAATAGGTAATATATAGGTAGAATAAAAGACAATAAACACTTACCTCATTATTAGCCATTTTCATTAATTGTATTCATATCATATCACAAATGAAAATTGATATGATAAAATATTTCTATCATTAACAGCATAGCAAAAAAATCACCGTTAATAATCTAAGAGTAGTAAAGCATTCCGAAATTGTCAAAACAGACTTAATATCATAACATATGAAGAAAATCTGACAATAATTAAGTAATTCCAATCTGGAAGTCTCATGTATTCCTATGCAATGCACTAAGCATAGAAAATAGTATGTTAAACTTTTCTGATCAGCAAATTATGAGATAAATTTTCTATACGCAAAAGTGTAAAAAAATCTCAAACGCAATACTCAAATTTTTCGAGTAAAATAATAGACTCAGAAATATTTGCTTGAGCAAAAACCTGCATATAGTGCAGCAGGTATAATTTACTTTAATTTTGTTTAATAAAAATACAGTTGATAAAAAGGATTTTGTATGAACAAAACATGACTTATATTTCTATCCAAATCTATCTATATAAGAGCTAAATTTCATTGATCAAGTTAGAAAGGAAACTGTAGAAGATTATAATATAATACAGCACCAATACTGCTAGACTAGACGAGTTTATTCACGAAAAGTGGGAGTCATAAAGGGTCCTCGACCTGTAGTATCAATGACTCTAGCCAAACTACAAAAATGAAATAGTTAAAAATAAAAAGATACTAGAGTATGCAACATAGAGATAAAGAAACGATGAAAACACAAATAAAATAACGTTAAAGAAAGCAACACGAGTTTATTTTGACTAGGAACATGGCTGAATTTTATTGTAAAAGATACTGAGCTAGTGCTTTTATGAAAGACGTTAAAGAAGAAATACAAATAACTGACTCGGAAAGTTTATTTCAGTCAACAAGTAGTTTACTGTTTCTCCACCATTCTCAGATGTACTTTACGAATAAAAAAACGGAATGGTTTTTGACATCTTTGAAACTGGCAGTAACCAAAATGTTGATGACACCTCAAAATGCACTTATACATAGTGCGTTGGTTTACTGATTTTTCCATAGGATGACCGTTTCTCTTTTCCAGGTAAACGGTTTGTCACGGTTTTCTAAAAACATACTCTTACTGAAATCGCCGTGCTTGTTGCCTGTGACATAAACCTGTAAACAAATTAGATAAAGAAAAGAAGGAATTTTGTTTTGAAAAAAGCTTTTGATTTTGTGGTGTACGATTATTTTCTCTATTGAAAATAAACTGTATTTCTTCCATTTCATAATCATCATAGTTTATACTAGTAATGAATTTATCCTAGTATTTCTATATTAATTATCTACGCATCCAGAAGTTAAGCATGTGGGTTCGGGAGTAAAAACAGTACGAGAGACTGAGTTACTCATAACATTTAAATACTCGTATTAAATTTATCTTGAAATTGAAATTTTTCGTTCGTAAGATCATCTTGAACCAAATTTTGAAGTTGGACGAACGATTCGTTATGTTTACTTGCTAGATTCGTCATTTGCTTGATACCTTCGTAAAATTATTAGAACACATATATTAGTAGCTTGTTTTCTTGAAAAACCAGTACACCAATGTACTATATGTAAGTACATTTTAAGGTGTCATCAGCATTTTGATTTCTGCCACACCGGAGGTCAATGGATCTACCATAATAAAAGTATTTCAATAGGAATAACTATGTATACACCATACATGCTCGGTTTTTGTTCTCTTCGACATGTTTCGATGTAAACCTTGTTTTTCTCAAAGCATACTTTTTACGCAATAAAACGATAATATGATTTCGTCAGCTATTCGTCGAGGAGAAAGCCAAAGCGAGATCCTTATAAAATATTTCTCAAAAAGAGTAAAGAATATAAATTTTCTCATATTACTTGCAAATATGTCGAATAAAAGTATGCGTTAGGAGTAAACAAAGAACTGTGTAATAATGTGGAACTTACACTTCATCAAAGAGGAGTGAAACACAAGACCTTATAAGAAAAAAAGTTGCAAATAAAAGATCATTGCTTATGTTACGGCTATACGATGGAATTTGTTCTATCATCGACAAGCTGAGCTCATAAACACCAAAGCAGAGTTGGGTCAAGATAATTGTGAAAGCAAAAGTTTAGCGCAAAATCTGGAATTTTGCGTTTAACTTATTGCAACTGCAAGACTAATTGGCCTCGTCTACACTAAAAAAGTTAACGGAGCTTTAAGCAATTCTATTGACTAAAAGTTAGTTTAACTCAATAGAATTGCTTAAAGCTCCTTTAACTTTTGTAGTGTAGACAAGGCCTTACTTTTTAACTGCCAATAAGAGCGGACAATTATGATTGGTAGATAACTAGGAAATGATATCAATCGTCTCTTTTCCAACTATTCGGATAACCAAATGCTAAACGGCTATTTCAGTATAACTATTAGTATATTCTGTGATTCTCCGCGGAGCTAGTTTTCGCTAAAAACTTGAGTAAAGGACAGCTGCACTATAACGGCAGGATACAATTTTGCAATAAACTAACAGTTTCTTTGAGTCAGCATAATTAGTGTAGGTTGTTCGTTTCTCAGCATATTTTTTAAAAACGGCATCTTCTTATACATTTTTCTGTTCGCTGACCAAATCAGCCAGTCGTAATGTTTATAGAGAATTCTGAATACTAATCAACGGTTACGATAGGTGTCATCGGTTAAGGAGATCCAACCACTTAAGGGACATAGCAGAATCAGAATTCATTATCCAAGTAAGATGGCAAAGGGAGAGAATGATTGGAAGAAAAGAGAAATATTATTATAACAACTACTATCCATCCCAAAATACAGTGCCAGTGGGCATTTTTTGAATAACTTTTGATAGGAATGAGATAGAGACCTGCGATTTTCGCTGTTCAATAGCCAAGACTTGAGCAGAACTTTTCACAAGCGGAAACAACTTTTGAAAAAATTTCAGAGATCGGGTTTCCAGAGGATCTTTGGAAAACCAGCTCCGTTCTCAGAAAACTAACATACAATGTTAGTAATTTTTTTGCATGCGTAGATAGTCCGGACGTTACTCTACAAAATTATGCAAGTCCCGGCTCTTTACCTATCGTCGTTCGGGCAGGGCTCGCTTTCCCCGAGCGCGTGTCTATCTGCGAGCAGACATCTCTGGGAATCTCAAAATGCCATGGACTATAGGTAATCGAGTACGCTCCGAATGGTTTTTATTTCATCTCATCGACAATGTGACCTGATAAAGCATAATGGTCACCGAGTTTCAATAACAAACAAGGAAGTTCTAAAGCAATAGACACGCTATATCTCTAATTTGTGAAGCGCATCAGTTACTGTCACTAACAAGCGACATCTCTCAACTACAACGCAGACAACAGATGCCCAGCACAGTAATTCTTAAACTAACGTTAAATTTAATTTAATTTACTCAAATCAGTCTTTAATTTATAATTTTATATAAAATTTCAAAGAGATCAAAAGTTAATGATGGACGAAAACAGCTGATTCTCCTCCAGCAACTTTCTCGTCTAGCTTATCGTACCCCAATTCTAGCGAATTCTAGCCCTAATCAATGCGGCCGAACCACGTTAATCGCATAATTTTGCGCTTAACTTTTGCGTTGAGCTTACCATGTTAAATTGTAGGATTTTTCAGTGAATTCATAAGAACATGGAACTCTTATCATTTGCAGTTAGCTATTAAAATATATTGTTATTTTGGGCTTTTTATTGTAGCAAAGAGGAAAGCATAAGTTAGTTAAAAGCAATCGTACTACTCTGCCTGCTGTGAAACGATTGATTACTATACAGTTAAGAACTTGCAGACACTGTATACCAGCTTTTTTTATCCAATATTTCGTCTGTACATGAAATCTGCAGCTATGTAGTAATGACATAACAGGATTTGAGAGGATTATCTGGTTGTTCAATCGTTAATTTCGAACGCGCATAATGATACATTTGAGAAGCCAGTTTGACATTGCATCAGAGCCCCCATTTTCATCCAGTTTTGAAAAAAGCCATAAACACTCAAAAATAATTTAAATCCTTTGAAAATTTTAGAATATAATCATAGAAAACTCCTACATTACGTTTTTAGACAAACAGATTCTTTTAGAGTTCTATTAGCAATACACAGTTTTCATGAATTTGTAACAGATTCAACGCTAAATTTGTTTCATTTACCTCATTCATTCTTGATTAAAGTTTAATCACTTCTTATTGTTTTTTTATATGAGTTAGTCAGAGCCATTGATTACAAGGAGGACATACTTATTTTATGGGAAGTGTGGAGTCATCAGAGATCCTCGACTTCTAATAGTGATAGTTTTCGGCAAAAAAGTCGAGCAAATCAATGAAAGGAAAAATAAAAAACTATGAAAACCAACACTAAAAGAAGAAAATAGTTGTTGTTTCTACTCTATTTTATTTGGCAAACATTTCGAAGGCATAAAAGATGAAGATGTTCTTTTGAATACAATAAAGTTGGACAAGAAAGAATCGATTCAAGAAGTTAATTCTAGCCGGTGACTGTGGACAAAAGTGTATTGTAGAAGTTTAAGTTAGAAAATTGCCGTGCACCTTTCATCTGGTCTAGCGTTGGATGTCACGTCATCTTATCTGATTGTTCAAAAGCGTTTCATAGTATCATCCAGATTTATTGTACCAGCATCCCAAATAAATGTTTTCTGGAAGTTCAACACCTTTCAATCGTTTCCATTCATCAAAGACGTACTTCTTAAACCGTACTTTTCCCTCTACTATGATATCTTTTTGTGCTTATGGATATAGAAAAAAACGTTCATCATCATACTAACTTCAATTATCATCAATATATGAACACTTTCTGCAGAACGAGTCCAAACCAACCGAACGAATAGACACTAAGTAAATGATTTCAATATCATTATTGATAATCTTCATTTCAGTTTAAATCTTAAACGTCATTTTAAAATTTAATTGAAATGTAGTCATTGTAGATCATGTATAAAATTATTCTTGCTCATTCTCGAATCGGTGTTTCAAAATTGTTTTTCATTCAAGTGTGTTAATCATGAAATAGTCTAAAATTGAATAATAATATAATTTTATCTATTTAGTCATGCCCACTTGCCACTTCGACTACCCCCGTGACAAAAAACAAAGCGCCTGAAACTGGTACAAACATTGAAAAACCCGATATGGTTAGACAAATTCGAGAAAAAAAACCAAAAATGAAAACATTTTCAATTTATCGTTGGGTAAAATCCGTGATATATTACAAATAACTGAGAGAAATACAAGTTTTTGTATTTGTTTGTTCTTTTTCTTATTAGAACCCTGAACAGCCTGATAAAAAACCATATTTACAAGATTATACGATTAATTTAAATGAGTAAGGACGCCGACGTTGTGTTTTTTTCAATGAATTTGAAACTGTTTTTATTCAAAGCTGCGGTCCAATGATTTTGGATGCAATTATTAAAATAAAGAATGAATCTGATCCAACCCTAGCATTCCGTCGTTCTTGTCGTGAAGGTATGTTTCGATGCGAGAGAATTTTAACTTAATTAAAATATTTTTTCTTTTAGGTATATGCGGGAGTTGTTCAATGAATATTGATGGACGAAACACGTTAGCTTGTATATGGTCAGTATTACTGAATGAAATTTTTCACTGATCAGACGCAGTCAATGTTTTTTTGATCTTTTTTATTTTTAAAGTAAAATTGACGATTCAAGTAAACCAACAAAAATATATCCATTGCCTCATATGTATGTTGTTAAAGATCTTGTACCTGTAAGTTGTAACTTGTGTTTTTATGGCTCTTAGTCTGAAACGACATTTAGGTAATCAGTAATGTGAATCGGTATTAATCAAAGATTAAATCGGGTCAAAATGAGTTTGACTCGAACATTTTGGTTCTAATCTGACACGAACCCGACCCGAAAACTTTTTTCCTTGACCCGAATGAACCTCGAAAAAAAAATTTTTCGCACCCAGAAGAAGAGGTGTAACTTTAGATCTTTCGCAGAAAGACGCAAGACAAATAAAATTCGCTGAACCGAGCCAGATCCTAAATATTTTTTTATTTGAACCCGAACCCGACTGAAACGAAAATCCGACCGAAACGAAAACCATTGTTTAAACAATCTTTTTCGTAGTAGTATTTATTATACTCTCTTTCTTTTGTTCACAACTGCTCTTCCTTCTAATTTGCATCGATCCTGTTCAAACATCAGATAAAATAATTAGGAATCTTATAAAATTACGTGTGTTGTAGGATTTTTCAAATTTTTACATGCAATATAAAATGATTGAACCGTATTTAAAACGTAAAACACCGACAAAAATCGGAGATAAGCAACTATATCAAAGTGAAGAAGATCGTCGAAAATTGGTTTGTATTTTATTGTAATATATAAAGGGTGTCCCACAAATGCCGAAACGATTTCTACAACGATGAATTTACAAATCGTTTCAGGAAAAAAATTCCTTACTATACCAAACGATAGACAATTTAATTCACTATAAGATTGTATATTCATTTTTAAGATTCATCTTTGATGTTTGGCACAATAAGTCTACAAACTTCTTAACTGCACCTTCAAGAAATCGATTTTTTGAGCAAAACCTCGCTAAAAATCACTTATTCAACAAAACAAGGTATACCAAAAAATTCAGCAAGAAATTTTCTACAATATGATGTTCTTTTTTTTTTTAATGACAAACAATGATTTTTTTCGATGTAATCAGAGCGAAAAAGAGTCTTTAAGAAAGGTCATTTTATCTTATTTTTCGGCCATCTTAATGACAATCAGTATTCCCTAGCTTTTCAGGTAAAAAAAAGTAGCAGATTTATTTGTAAATTACAGTCTAATAGAGTACGAAATTCTGTATTTTTTGGTCTATAAACTAATGATTTGAACTTCGGATTTTATACTGAAATAGTCAAAAAATGTTTTTAGTGCTAGAAACTTTGATGGACTTGGAAGTCTATGTATTAAAGCCATTAGCAATTGAAATAAATTTCGTTCAAGTAAACGCTTTTGTAAAGCATGAAATTCTTCACGATTTGACTGTAATAAAATTATTTCAAAGCTTTTTGTACTTATTATAAGCAATTAAAAAAAGAGAGCAGTTTGCACTTTAAAACTGCTTGATGAAGTTAAAAAATTTTGAGCTTTTCCTGTTAGACTTACTGTGTCAAACATCAAAGATAAATTTTAAGAATAAATATACAATCTTGTAGAGAATTAAATTGTCTATCGTTTGGTATAGTAAGGAATTTTTTGTTCTTAAATGATTTGTAAATTCATCGTTGTAGAAATCGTTTCAGAATTTGTAGGACATCCTTTATAAACTTATATATATTTGAAGAATAAACTGTGATGATTGTTATTTTCTTCCCTTATTATAGGATGGCATGTATGAATGTATTTTATGTGCTTGTTGCTCGACAGCTTGTCCAAGTTATTGGTGGAATTCCGACAGATATCTTGGACCTGCCGTTTTAATGCAAGCCTACAAGTATGTTTTGGGTATTTTTATTTCATCTATAACGGCATACTGTTAACTTTTTTTTTAAATAGATGGATAGTTGATTCACGTGATGAATATACACAAGAACGTTTAAGTCAATTTCACGATACTTTTTCACTATATCGTTGTCATACAATTATGAATTGCACAAAAGTTTGTCCAAAGGTAAGAAGAATCATAGGAAAAGATAAATGTAGTACATAATATTATATCTTTGTCTTTTTAGGGTTTAAACCCAGCAAAAGCAATTGGTGAACTTAAAAAATTAATGGGTGGAATACAATCGATGCCGGAAAAAAATATTTCAACAGTTGGTCCAGAATACAAATAGAGGGAACTAGAGGTTTTTTTGTATCATATTGTTTTTTGATAAGTACGTCTATTTATTATAAATAATGGAAAAATGAATCTGACATTTAGTTTCTTATTTCCTCGTTATCTTTGCATATTTTGTACTTATTTCGATTCTCATTTTAAACAAATATATTTATAGAGTTATTATAGAGTTTGAAGATATAATGTTACTAAAGGAGTGGGGGTGATTTCTATAAGAAAACAGCTCCCGCTGTTTTTATGTAATTTGTGGTGATGGTGATACTTGATCATATTCACATTTATTTTCACATGTTACTTTTGGTTCCTGCTTTCTTGTAGATTGTAGATTTTTGAAAGTTGATTGGTCAAAAAAGTAAACTTTTCACTATTTTCGATTGTTTTTATTTACCTACCAAACGTGTATGAATTTAATGGTATATGTCAATAGATAGAATTTCTCACTAACTACAAAACTGTGTTTTTAGAATATTTTTCGACTATTAATGCACAGAGAAAATTCTCACACTTTGATAAAGTATCAAATCTAATATCAGATAATCTACAGTATTTTGATTTGATTGAGGTTATTCAGCTACATAACAGAGCTCATTCATGCACCATTCGACAGGCCTTGAAAAACTCTAAATCTATATACTTTTCTTGAATTTAAGAATGGGACTAGTACACGAAAAGTTGAATTAAGATGCTACAAGTCGGAATTATGCCCTAATTTGCAATTTTCTCAACAGAACTCAATTTTTATGGTATTTTTTTTTCATGAAAATCTTAGTAATTATTCGATAAATACCATTCGACTCGATTTTTGACGCTGATTCCGAATATGATATTTTCATACAGAGCGTAACACTATGACGTTATCGATACGTAAAATCATAGAACTGTGCCTTCCTCTATATTTTTTACGAATGCTACAATCTTGTCGAAAAAATAAACAAATTAAACACGGTTTGTAGAAAATATTTTACGATTTTTTAATAAGAAGAAAGTTTCAATCGAAAGAATTAATTCTCTTCAGAAAATGAAATTCTTTTTTTTTAAACATTTCCTTGCGTTTTTAAGATTTTAAAGACGTTCTGATTTGGATAGATCCTTATGTTATCAAACAGAATTAACCTATATGAGTCAAAACTAGAAATAAAACATCCAAAAATTTCTCAAAACTCAGCAGATTGGTAAAAAACTTGCTTGTTCTACAAAATATTGTTCCGAACGTCTATTGTTTTTAAACAAATGGTACATTTTATAGAAAATTTTATTCTCTATCGAACGACATGGCCTTTCATTTTTTAACGGAAACTAGTAGGTTAAGAAATTGAAAGCTAAAGTTTAAAAAAAGAATTTAAATTTTGAAATTGAAAATTCATTTTTCTTTCGTAAATTTTAAAGTCGATATTCGTGATCAGCGTGAAAAACTGCGTCCATTAATGTATTGTTGCGGTAGTATAGAGAAAAAACCTTCAGCATCGAAGAGGACCGGTAGATACGCAGACCGAACCGTAAAGCGATATCATTTTAAGTTGTTAATGGAGAGTTAATACCAGATGTTGTATAACGTTTTTCACTCCAAGCAATTTGCTTTGGTGCTTTTATTCAGTATGTTGACTAGAGTGAGAGAGGACATACTTTAAATAACAAGGTGGAATATTTTACAACTTTTATAGTCTGTATAATTTTGTCACTTTTACTTTTTGAACTTGTGAGAAGTCTCAAGAAGTTTGAATATTATTTACGGCAGGATACCTATTTAAAATAGTTTGCCTCCGCACAGACATAGCGAAATGACAGTGTTTTTTTTAGTAAAACATTTTTTTTGTCTAGAATAATTCTCCACTATCCAAAATAGCTAGTTCATTAATGAAACAGCTCAATTCGAAATTTTTTCAAAATTTTTTCTGGAAAGTTATTGTTTCACACAATATTCTATGCAGTTTGATCAGTGGATTCTGAATATGACGATGGTTTAGCTTAAAAATGCTTCTGAAGTAGAGAAAATAAGATTTTACTCCAGAGACCACGATTTTTTAAAGACCTCCCACGCTGAACTCATGGCGAAATTTGCGCGAAGAGGGCGTCCCATGATCGCGATATCAGTCGCGAAATAAGACGCGATTTTTGCAATTGCGGTTTTGTCGCGATGCGCCTTGTCAGAACTCTTGGCATTGGGACGCGATCCCGTAGAATTCTAGGCGAACTCTTAGAATCGCACCATGGTCCTAGCCCAATCGCTATTCTTATAGGGATTCTAAAAAAAGAACTATTTCACGGCACGACTCACGATAGTCGCGACAGAAGTCCTGAAATATTTTTTTTTATTTTTAGAAATTTCTGATACGATAGATTCTAAAAAAAAGTCACGTTCCTTCAATCGGGAACACGACTCTTGATGCGAAGATTAAACTTCAAAATAAAAAATTAATTAAAATTCTGATGTTTCTTTTCTTCTTTTATATAAGTTCAACTGCAAAACAAAAGGTTTAATGGGTTCTGGACCGTGACTCTCATTGAGACTACAGTTTTTCTCATGTTTTGCAAAGTGAGTGTAGGACCTCTGTCGCGTCAGAATGATATGGAAGGAGTTCTAAGACCTCTCTAGGATCGTGCCATCCAAAAGGTCTTATCGGGAGTCATGGTTAATATTTTTTGAAAAAAGTAAGATTCTGGCGTGACAACGCGATTTCATCGCGGTCATGGAGGGACAACGGGATCACGCCAACAGTTCAATGTGAACGTTGATCTGGGCTGTATTTCAAATACAAACATGCATTGTTATGCTTCTTTTATGAATGTGCCATACACAGACGAAATTCCAGTAAGACTGAAGTTGTGGGAAAATGTTTAAACGCATTGCACTGTAGTCTTTTCTTTGGAAAAGTTTCAGATGCGAAAACAAAATTTTTTTCCTTCAAATGACAACAAACAAAAATTGAAAAATCAATACTTTTTCGTTTTTTTCTAAATATCCACTTGCATGTCTGCTGTGATAGATACATTAGAATAGTTTATAAACTGCTCCTTGATATAACTTCACTCGAACTTAATTCATGTAACAACAACAACAAGATAACTTACTCTTTCATTTATCACTGCTTGTATTACTAGATGAAGTGACTGTAGCTGATCCGCATTTATGTTTTCCTGGTGAGGTTTTTTCAATAAAGGCAAAAGTCATATGCTCTTCAAACATATGTTCTCAACTACTGTATGAAGTGGATGAAGTGCATAATTGTGATGAGTAATAGTGACGTCAGGCTTCTTCTGAGCGGAGAGAGACAACTAACTGTTAGCTGAACAGTAGCTTAAAATATAAATGCGTCAGAATGTGATAAAATACTATCATCAAAATACTATCGTTCAGATGTATGGAGTTTTCGAACCAATAAGCAGTTGTTTAAATATTTATTACAAAATTTTATTAAACTGAAACTATAAAACATTTCCGTTCTTAGAAATGTTATGTCTTTGTAGTTGTTATTGATGTGCGGAGTTATTATTTTTTATTTGAGCTCTGTCCAGCATATCAGCTAACTCAATCTATGAATCAGAAGACTATTCTAGAAGATTTAAAATGGTAGTAGAAACACTTACTAAACGAATGTCACTTTCTGTGAGTCTAATTTCTATACCATCGATTATTATCTTTAAAAAGAAAATGAAGAAAAAAAAGTTTTGTATTCATTTTTCTAGAGTAAAAGATTGTACTTTCTGATTTGGCACAAGTTTAAATGGAAACGCTGTGTCTTCATTTATCGTTTTTTGTTCATATCGCGAAGTGGAGAGGGGAAATGTTTTGTACGATAATTTAGTATCGTCTTTCCTGAATATTAAACAAAACATAGCGATGTAAGTTTCAGCAAATAAGAAGCATCTACTTACGTTTGTGGAGCACGCCATACTAAACAAACAATTGCAAATAGTAAGGCGAATGTTGCCAGAGATACGACAACAGCAGTACTTATTTCCGACCTGGCCACTTCTGATTTAACAAATGATGGCTTTGAATTAGGCTGAAATTCTAGAGAAAACAATGTTAGACAATGGTTTTAAAACAGCTCTTAAAGGAGTACAATAGTAAGCATTTACGCTTCCGTGGTGTTTTTTCTTTGAAAATCTTTGACACTCTGGATATTGTTTTTTGTTCTCTAAACCCTTAAGTTGTTTTCTGACGTACTTTTGATGAATTTTTTTGAATAATTTTTGTTATCTTCTGGCGGAGTTTTTAGCTGTCGTTCGTTCATATCAAAACGTCGTATTATTTTGCTATTTTTTCGTCTTTTAAGAAGGTGGTACACGTGTAGTAATTGTTCAAGTTTTTCTTCAATATCACCATCGTCAACATCTGATAGATGATGTTTTGTCTTCATGACACTCTCTTTTCTAATGGCAGCTGGATAGTTTTGATCAGAAATGGCGTGTTTTTTTTTCACTTTTGATGATCGTGTGTCTTCGTCGCATGCACGAACGATATGACGTTTCACACTTTGATAAGGATGAGTTTTACGATGGCGAGTTAAATCTTTCGTATACATATCGGTATCTCGACTAACAGATCTATCTTGAAATGTTCGACGATAAATTTGAGGTAGAGAGCCAATATTCGTTGATCTTTGACCACTAAATGTGAGTAAATAAATACTATCATGTTTATCATTTTCATTTGATGATAATTGATTTTTTCCAACAAACAGCATGTTCGACAGTTGCATTTTATTAATTAAAGTCGACGACGGGTTTTCTTCTCTGTCATCTATGTTTGTATATTCGAGTGTTGTATATGGTTTCTAAAATATTAAGGATTACCAATTTTCATGTTACTTGGATTCAGGTTGAATGTTAAGTTCGAATAATACCTCGTAGTTTTGACGGTCGTAGGTATTCATGTCAGTTTCATGATTATTATACAACTGATCTGAATTATATGATTCAATTTGTGATTTTCTGTTTGTTTTGCCAGACATTTTTGTTTCCAACGGTAATATAAAGTTTCTTCCGACAAATTTATCATCGACCATGAATGTACGATAATTTGTTCTTTTAGTGTTGAAATATGTCGGTCGCTCTACTCTTCCATATATTTGATCGGAATCAAACCGTTTGATTGTATCGGAATTTTTTGACAAACGTTGACTTTTCAATACTTCATACCGATTTTTAAGAAAACTAAGTTCGCCATCTTTTTGACTGGATCTACGTGTTCGAATGGACTGATCCTCTCGATGCATGTTTAAAAAATCGCTTAATAATGGTGATTGTACAGCATCTTCTTCAGTTCCACTATCTTCATTCGATAGAAATTTATGATGTTGAACAAAAATATTGTAAGGATGAAGTTTTACTACACAGGAACAGCGAAGACTCAACGGTTTTTACTGGTGATGAATTTTGAACAAATGTGTGGCCTCCGGTCCTTGACCTTCTCCACGTTTGAAAACTTCACTAAGAGCAACGTATAAGTTCTACTTACTGCAGATATGATTATTTTCATCTGAAGCGTCGTTACAGTCGATTATTCCGTCACATAATCGTTTTTTCACTACACAATCACCAGAACCACATTTAAAGTTTCCAGGATTTTCACAATTAGAACAAATGTATTCGTTTTCATCTTCATCGCCTTCACAATCTAAAATATTTCTCGACTTAATTATCTAACTGTCGACATGTGAAAACGTTTACGCACCAATTATTCCATCACAGACTTGACACTAGAATTGACATAAAAGTCTTTTTCAGATCAAATCGTTCGTTAAAAATGAATGAATCTACTAACAGCATCAATAATTTGTCCTTTATTACATGCAAATGTCCTCGGTGTAGAACTACCTAAAAGACACTTATTGTAAACATCAATTTTGTTTTATAGTCATAAAAACAGTTGATTTACGTGCACATCGCTGTTCATCGCTCCCATCTCTACAAGTCTTCATACCATCGCATCGATGAGACTAGAATATATAGAAAAATTCAGAATAGATTCAAAAACCAAGAAGCTATCTCTACTCGATCGACGCATTCGCCCGATGAACAACGAAAACTATTGGGCTCCTGACAAACTAAAGTAAATATAAACCTTGTTATAAACACGAAGTAAGAATCATTCTCATTCACCGACCGTGACATTGAAATTCTTCATCGCTATTATCGAGGCAATCCCGTTTTTGATTGCATACATTCGTAGTTTGAATACAATTTCCATCATTACATCGATAATGATTTAAATCTGTACAATCTAAAAACTAGGAAAACATTGTGTTGAATCGAAACAACAGGTTTCAACAATGTTACGATCATATGCGTACGACAATTATTTTCATCTTCGCCTGCTGAACAATCTTGAATCCCATTACATACATGTTGTTTCGTGATACATTGTCGACTTGTTTTACATAAAAATTGATCTTCACTATTACATTTCTCTAAAGTAATAATACACGTTTGATGCAATGAATGAAATATTTGCAACTTCTTACCAACAGCACACGTAAAATACACCCCAGATTCATCACTATCATCATCACAATCTTTGTGACCATTACATATCAACTCTTGCCGGATGATCTGCCGGTTCAAACATTTAAACATTCCTTTCGTTGTGCGCGTCATACATTCATATTCTTCTTCTTCTCGAATAATTCGAATTTGATCAGTTATATCTAATACCATTGCCTGACACTTGCATGCTACTTTAAAAAATAAATATATTGAAATGTAAATGGCTGATAGAGGGAAAATATTAAATATTGATATACTTGCTGTTTCGTTCACCAGTTGAACACATAAATTTTCATTGTCTGATTCGCTTTCGGCATCACAAAATTTAACTCTTCTATTTGATTTCAGTTTTGCGTACGGTGAAGACTGCTGCAATGATAATCTGTTCAATTCTAGCCATGCTAATCGTTGCGGATTACATTGTTTTTTATTTCGAATCAATGATTTTGTTCTCTTCCAATGTTGATTCATTATCCAATGTTTGATACTTGTCATATCTTCTCCATTGTCACCTGAAATAAGTACAACGTCCAAATATTCTCACTTATTTAGAGAGTACGACAAGTACTCGAATTTGTGTTTAATTTTACTTGTTTTCTTTTTTGACCTATTTTTCAGCATCTCTGTAATAGAAAATAGAAATTAGCTATACACCGTTATAGACATGTAGAAGTTACCAATATTGAAGACTGTTCTCCTTGTCGTTGTGGATGACTGTAGCTTTTGCAGATATTTTACCATTTTTTTCTGCTGTTTTGTTGTTGTTTTTTTTGGACATTTCAGTCGTTTTTTCGCCTGTTTCCACATTTTTTGGGTCTTCTTTCGAGCTTTTGTTTGCATTTTGTTAAAATGTTTGATTTCTTTTTTCGTTGGGATGAATTTGTGTACAACACCTGTCAGATTGTGAAGGTATGAAGCGAGACCATATTTTCGGTTATCTTTTAGTTTATGATTAAAACCATTAGTGGGACTGATTGCATGTTGTAAAACTGAACTAACGAGTAAGTGAAAGAAAATTATAGTCAATAGTTTGGATCTCTTAATAACTTTGCACAGTGACTTAACTTGTATTTGTACCTATCATCATGTGGACCATTCATTGTCTTTCTTTTATCTTCATTCAATACTTGAATTAAATTGGTATCAAATGCTTTTTGAAATCTATTTGATTCGTTTAAAAAGTATTCTTTAGCCATTTGTTGTGATACAATATGTTCATCTTGTTTTGTTTGATCAACATTCACTGATCGTTTACGATTTTGTTGTTGTTGTAATTCAACTAATCTGTCATTAAAATCATTTAAGTGAGCTAATTGTTCATAAACACTATACAATTGATCAATGGTATTCCGTTTATGAAGTTCTTTGTCGTTTATTCTCATTAAATTGTTCATATTCAATTGTCTATTTATTGTTACAGCCACCTCGTTATCCAGATCATGTAACACACCAATTAATATCAATTCCTCGTTGCCATTGAGTTCTTGACGTCTTGTTCGAGGAAAAAATGATAAACGACGTTCATTAGGATCATACATGGCCATCATGTGTAAATAATCAACATTTGGTTGTCGTAGTACTTGCAACGGCATGTTGTCAGATGTAATTGTAGGATGAGTATGGATAACAGATAAACGATCGTCTTTAACAAGGAGTAAATACCATTGTATTATGTTTTCTATATCGAGATAGATTAAAATACCGAACGATACTACCTCGTGGAATTCGTTCAGATGATGAAGTATAATCTTCGTTAATACTTTGATCATTATTTGTTATCCACGTATTATATTCGTCTTTTTCATCCTTTTTCCAACATGTGGTACCCGTTTTTAATACCGCGCAATTCCTACCACTTAAATCTAGTCTCAAAGAGTCTATTGTTGCACCTCGATACAAGCGACATTTTGCAATCGATAAGCTCGTAACATAATTGAATCCATCGCATCGGTAACATTTGTCACAAATTCTTGCACAATGACGCATGGATTTAGCATGATATGTAGAAAATGGTAGAGGAATTTGTTCGGTGATCTGATATCCGGCAAATACATGATAGGTTGGCTTACAGTTTTTAAGCGATTGCCGACAAGCTGGACCTCGGCATAATGAAGATTTTGCACACGGCTAAAAAGATTATATTCAATTTATTTCTACTAATGGGTGAGCAATAAAGCATGGACCTCTGGATATTTTTTGAATAGCTTTTTGTGCGATATGTTTTCTTGCAGAGAATGAAATGGCTTATCTTTTGGAAGAAGTTTTAGTCTACGCGGTCCAAAATGAAAAGCTATTCCAAAAATACTGAGAGATCCAGTCTTTACGGTTCACTTATTATTATTTTGTAAGTGTGCTCACCATACATTCACCTTCCTTTTTTGAACAATGCTGTAAATAATATTCTGATTTCCATGTTGCATGATGTAGTTTTTTTAAGAGATGATTAATTTTCTTTTTCCTCAATCCTTTTGAACCACCCGCATCTTGTTTGTTATTGCAACATGTATCTCTAAGCAGACTTCCACGCACAACCAGTGCTGCATACAAAAAACTGCATGTTTTCCGTATACATATACTTGAAATTAGACTTACCAACAGGAAGGACAGACTTGCGTGCATTGCTCGCTTTCTGAAAGTCACTCGGAGACATTCGATTATATTGTTTAATTTTAAGTTTCTGTTGTTTCATTGCACTGGCATGTTTTCCTCGATCCGTAGGATCAATTAATAATGATAATCCAACATCAACTTGATTCGATTTTAACTGACGATCAGCTGCTGTTAATGCACGTAGACTACGATTGAACTTGGTAAAATTAGGATCTTTTATAAATAATAGATCAAATGAAGGTGTCTCGTGTTCGAGTTCGTGAAACCTCCCTAGATTAATAAACACGACGATATTTTTTGCTATAAAAATGCTGTTTTTAGATTAAAAACTTGTAATATATAAACTAACCTTCGAGTATAAGCTTATTAGTAGAATCCAGTGCCGCATTCGAGTTAATCAAAAACAAACAACAGCTCCAAAACAAGTTTGTTTGGTAACCCATTAATCAGCCAATGATTCAATAAGACAAACTTTCTTCTTGTCGCTCACAACGACCTAACTCATGACGCGCGAACAAAAGTTTGCAGAAATATCTATCATTTTATATTTCATTACGATTATTTGACAATGTTCCAGATACTCAAAATTAGAGACATGGAGACACAAAAAAAGCCTATCATGGAGAGCTACCAGACTCCAAAAAGGCTTAAGAAGTTACAAACTAAATCTTTTACTGTATCGCTGCGTTCCCTTGATTCAACTGCTTGGAAAAATTGGTAAGAATTTTCAAAATTTCTGACTTGCGATGTAATTTTATTCAACAGGAAATCTCCTATTCTGCCTTTCTGTTAAAACTGTATCGTTCATGTCTACAATCTCTTTTTGTTTTAAACCATATGGTTTTTGTTTATTTACTACATACCACAGCCTTTTCATCCTGGAAATAGACACGGCAGATCAGCAGTCTCTTGCAAAAGTTATCTGGATTATGAATTTACTTTATTCAATGTTCAAACACCCGGATTTCTAACATCGTGATCTTCCAGAATAAAATAGAGTAAATGCAGAATACAAATATTAAACTACAGTAAGTGATTCTACAGGTAATATCAGCTAAGAAACGATGGCCAGTGCTTGAATTTTCTTGACTTAATCCAAAGAAAGTTGTCAAAGATTAAAAAGGCTGTTATAAGCAGTGAATACCGTTACAGGGTATCCCATAAGTTGTACCGGATTTTTTTTCATCTAATTTTTGATGATAATGAATACAAATCAAACTCAAACTGACACATATCATACAATTTAACTTGTACTTTTATTACATATATTTTATTTGGATTAGATCATTGTATGTATTCAGTATCATCAAACATTAGAGCTGATACAACTTATGGGACACCCTGTACCTCTAGACAATCAAAACTTTATCAAAACTTTCGATAGTTTTAGTTTAGAATACTATAATGGAATATTCTTCCGCTTGTATTCTGACAGAATAAAGCTTATATAAAAAAAAAAAGGTGTACTGTGTCTGCAGTCCAATTTAGAAGCTTAAGACATCTCGAACTCTTCAATGCTTCAATATTTTGGACCGAAACTCTTATGATAACATTTCTAGATCATCATCTTAAAGGGCTAAAAATTTGCTACGGTATAGAAAGTATAGAAACAAAGAAGATTTATGTAGGAGGAGAATCTTATATCTGAACGTGATTAAACAAAAAGTTCACAAGTTGTTTCTATGTTGAATGATGTACAAGTGTCAGATACTGAATAAAGACAAATGGTATTGATATGTCATTTTACTCTGATTCCAAATAAAGAGCACAAAATAACCACTTATGCTGGAAAAAGAAACAAATCTTCAAGAACTACATGTGTGCTGTTTCTTCTGCTGTTTGAGAATTTAGAAATAATTCCACTAAGAATACGGTTTATGTTTCGAAACCAAGTGAGATCGTCATAAATTAATGCTACAATTGTTTACGAATTTGATAATTAAGTTAAAAAAGTTTGAACTTTTCTCTTCGTATTTTGATCGAAACGTTTAGTTAATTGTATTACTTTATTAATATAATAAAATACGAAGAGAAAAGTTCAAACTTTTTTAACTTAAGTGAGATCGTAATCGTAATTTGATGATGTTCTGATACCCACCTGATTAGTATGGTAAAATATGTTAGTATCACGAAATCTAATCGACTACAGTTTGATCTCTGAACAAGTGTGTGTTGTTGTAAAATAGTCAAACCAACGTACATTTAATCACATGAAATTTGAATTTAAATTCGATTGGTAATAATGACGAAATTGATTAAAACTCAAAGAATGTATAAAGGATAAGACTTTCAAAGGATGTTTAGTAAACAATCTGATTAGTCTCAATAAAACCAGCTTAGTTGATATAATCCCTCGACTTTGATTATCGTCGGAGCTATAGCTTCTTACACCCTAGAAAAAATCTAATAATGATCTACCTCAAATCTTACAAAATCTTTCTATAACAAATCAGCTGGGAAACGTCGGAAAATTCATAAGATCTTACTAGATTCTTATCAAATTCTTGTGGAACTTTTCTAAACCTCGTGTATAAGGATCTGAAAAGTACATAGACCATAACGACCATTCTCTAGGCAAAATTTTGTTAATAAGTCGCGGCTGTCTGCGTTTATTTTAACCATATTCCCTGTAAACTAGTTCCACAGCATGGGTGGATGATTTGCAAACAACTTTAACTATAAAACTCAGACACAAATCTGCTAAAAATCTCGTAAAACTCCTATAAGATCTTTACCAGATACTTATAGGAAAAGTTACAAAGAATTTCACAAAAATTTAATAAGATCTTAGAAATTTCTTGAAAGTTGTCTACCTGAGTTCTTATAGAAGAAGAAAAGCTTCTATTTAAAACTATTCATTGACACATTCATTTTATCATTCACTTTCTTTTTGAATTCGATATCAATATATACATTTCTGCTGCTTCTCACTGATTTTAAGTTTTGAAAACAAAAGACTAATAAATCAAGTATTAGAGAGGAAAATTTTCTAAATGCAAGTATGTAAAGAAAATCCAACTAACTTAGAAAGTACTCAGTTAAATACTAAACAATCGTCAAGTTCATTGCTGTTTTTAGGCTTTTGTGATTGCATCAGTCGAATATTAAGCGACTGTAGCACAATCAAGAAAGGATGTATTTCTACGTTAAAACTAGATATGTACTTAACCTTAACAACTAAAGTATTTGGTTCTCAAGGTTATCATTGGGAAAAAGCTAACATAGCTGTAATACGAACAGTGTGTCATTAAAGTTGAAATTAGTGAAAGGTGAAGCTAATTCAAAAA